GCCAAACTACCAGTTACCATATTCTAAAGATCAGCCATAATTGTTTTCACATGGGTTGATTCATACGACATTTGACCTTCATGCACTTGCATTAGTTTCTGTTTCGTGCTTCCAGTTTTGAGAGATTTATTGAAATAAACAAACTGGAAATCACGGCTCTTTATAAGTGCACCTGTGAATTAAAGGCTAACAGACATTTTTGTTTATTTCGTAAGGATTCTCTCTCTTTTTTTTTTTTTTTTTCTTTTCTTTTTCATTCTATTTATTTTGAAACTTAACATAAGCTTTCTTGGCTAATTAAAAAGTAACATTATTTACAGAAGGAGAAAGACTATCAGCTTTCTGGATGCGTAATGCATCCTGCTTGTATTTCTCAGGAAAGAGCCAGCGTTTTTTTCTTACTTGATTTAATAGGTTATATATAATGCCTTGAATGGTCATCATATTTAATGACGCAGGCATATTTTGGTATATAATGCATTTACTTTGCATATAATGTAATTACATATAATGTATATATTGACGTGATCAGTAACGGATATCCCGCCAGTGGGGGTCTTTCCTTGATCACTTTCCGGTCATTGTGGACGCTGTTTTCGATTTAGAGAAACAGGAAGTTTTTTAATATAAACCTGATGTCACACAGGCTTTGAGAATGAAATATTTCTGAGTGTCTTTTGAAGACGTTTTGGGGCACGTGTTAGGGTTATATTCAGTTTCATTCCGTTAGCCATGACTAAGAGACCTTACTTAAAAACTTTAAAAAATTTGTCCAAAATCACAGGATGCTTCACCTTTCTATCTAACTGAAAGACAGTTTCTGAAAATTCACATTGACGGAAAAGGTAATAAAGGTAGGAGAAGAAGCGTTGTGTGAGCTAAAACCTACGTAAAGCGAAAGCAAACAACATATTTTGAGTGCGAAACATGCAAGGTAGGACTCTTATGTTGATCCTTGTTTTGAATTATTTCACACAGCGGAATTTTTAAATTGGAATCTAATTACCTATAGGTAATTCTTGTTTAGTGTTTTTTTTTTTTTTTAATTTAGTATTTGTAAATTTTTTTCATGTTTATAATATTTATTTCTGTGCGTATAGGTATGATTTTAGTATTTTGCCTGTTTAATTTTTTTTCTCTTAATGTGATATTCTTTTTATTAATACACATTAAAAACAAGTACATTAAATACACAACTTTAAAAATTGAAGTCATAATATCAAAATGATGACTTTATATGATTTTTTTTTTGTAAAATTAGGCTTAACTGCTGAAAATGCGCAGGCCGAAGGCGACGATCTCTTTCAGCGAGTGCGGTCCCGTGATTGCGCTTCATTCTCCTACGCTGGTCCTTACGGAGTTAATGGGGCGATGAAATTTCAGGCAATTTGGCTTAAAGGTCTGATTTAAAGAATAGCATTTATTTTCTAATACGTATGCGTGCATCCAGATAATTTGGCCTTAAATCGATTAATGAGGTAATCAGTTTACATTTGTTTTATGATGGCAGTCAGAAAGGTTACTTGAAAAGAATAAAAAATCATAATATGGTAAAAGCTACTTTAGTTCACACTTGATCTAGACTGGCACTTATCACTTAAAACCAGATTGATCCCTTTACAATCTCTTGGTAAGAACTCCTTGGTTTGCACTATAGGGTCTAGACCAGGGGTTCTCAACCGGTGGTATGCAAGAGAAAAATAGGTGGTAACGTAAAGAAGCAAAGTATTTTTAACTATTAAATTCAAAAATTAAAATTCCAACATCCTGGTTGAGTTTTTTCTTTAACTCTCATAAATTTATGTGATCTGAGTTTTGTTAAAGGTCAATAATCACTTAACAAGAGGCGAACGATCTGTCTGCATGGCAGTTTTCATGGTTTTTCCATATTGTACATTTCACAAACATTCTTTTAGCCGTAGACATAACAAAATTTGCCATGAATGACGTTTTTAAAAGAAGCGAAAGAAATGGATGCTGTATTTAATAGGAAATAAAAATAAGTTCCTATAAAAAAGATAATAGTATCTCATTAATTCTCTTAGGGTTTATTGATTTATTAGAGTGTCAGCACTATATGTTGCCATTTCCGGGCTCATATTGCTCCATTTTCAATGAGAAACATTTTTTACATTGGTTTGCTGTCTCTAACAGCCGGTATTTTGTCTTCTTGTTGCTTTGTAATCCTTATTTTTCTACACGATTTGAGAATATCGTTAACTGATTTTGAAGAATTCGTAATATATTGTGCATTTAAATATTTGTAAAAAAATAATACGACAAATCTAAATTTTTCAAAATGTAAAAATAGCTAGGATTGGCTAAGTGAAAAAGTGATGATTCACATGTGATGGATCCAGGACAATCTATTAGCAGTAAGAATATTGAAAAGAAAAATTGTTTCTAGAAAATATAATGAAATTTATTTATCATTTGGATTAACTTCGAATGGAGAAGAAATGGACCTTAACCTCAGTGTGATGTTTGCGATTAACTATCACCCAATCAGTAGTAAACCCGTAGTATGAAACCATCGTTTCTTAAAAGGCATCTTGAATCTAAGCATGCTAATTTAAAGGATAAATCTGAATATTTTAAGAGGAAATTATCAGAGTTTAAAAATGGTAGACAAGTAAAGAAAGGTTTTGTTACTTCAAGTGAAAAAGCTTTGGAAGCTAGTTACCTGTTTAGTCTAAGAATTGCTAAGACTGGGCAGGCTCACACTATTGTAGAAAACTTAATATTACCAGCAGCTAAAGATGTCGTTTTATGATTATTCAACAAAAAACCCGGCTAATGAACTTAATAATATTCCGTTATCAAATGATACAGTAAGTCTACGAATTCATGAAATGGCAAATTCACAAAAGAGACACTTATTCAAAAAATAAAACACAATGAGTATTTCGCATTGGAATTGGATGAAAGTACCAATATAATGAACTTAGTTCAATTATTAGTTTACATATGTTTCGAAGAAGATGAACGAATTGCTGAAGATTATTTATTTTGTGAATCTCTTCACGATACAGATCTGCAAGTGAAATTTTCAAAGTAATTGACAATTTTCTGTCTGAGAATAATATTCCTTGGAATAAGTACATTGCTGTATGCAGTGATGGAGCTCGGGGTTTAACAGAAAAACTTTCCAGAGTGATTTCTCAAATTAAGAAAGTTGCACCTGAAACTAAATTTACTCACTGCTCCATACACTGTGAAATTTTAGTAGCCAAAACAATCCCTGAAAGCCTGAAAATCGTTTTAAATCAAGCTGTGAAAATTGTTAATTTGATTAAAAGCTGAGCTTTAATTTCAAGAATATTTACGATTTTATGCCAAGAGATGGGCAAGTAACATGAAACACTTTTGTTATATTTCAAAGTAAGGTGGTTATCTAAGTTTTAAATCGTCTTTTTGAACTTTGATCAGAAATTCAAAATTTGAATAGGATCTTAATCTATCTGAGATTTATAGTTATTGCTGATCAGACTTCTTGACAGCCTTGTTTTGAATACAAAGAGATCAGAATAAAGGAAAACTTCAGTCCTTAATCATGCATTAGAAATTCATTTTTTGACCTTCCCTGAAGTATGGCAAAAACTCTTGTATTTAGAAGATGCTCTGTTGAGCAATTGTTAGAATGGAAATGGTGGGAAAGATCTGATTAGTTAAGTGAAAAGGGAGAATGTTAGCTGAATGCTGTAAGGGAGCCAGAAGATTTGGTTAATTCAGAAATGCCTAAAACAATTAAAATTTCCTTAATAAAAATTGATGAAAATATTAAATGGCATTATAACTATTTTTCACAATTCAAAAAAATTATAAGTATATCTTGGATTTTCAGATTTTATAAAAATGTAAAAACAGTTATAAATTAATTTTTTAAATGAATATGACTTAGGAAAGTTAACCTTATATTATAAGGACTTAACAATTTCTGAAACAGAGAGAAGAGATAGCTTTGATACTTTTCATTCAAAAACAAATCTTTCCAAAGTGAAAAAGATGATAAAAGTTAATAATTTAAGACCAACTGTTGATTGTTATGGTCTTAATAAGTATTCAATTTAGTGTTGTTTTTCACGATGATCCAACTCCTCTGACAACAAGTAGTGGTTGACTAATGAAATGTGTACTATGCCTCTGAATTCTGTATACAATGTTTAGTGAAACTTGTATTTTATAATCTCATATACTACTGAGGGCATATTACCTGTTTTAAGTGCTTTTGTATTTCCTTTAACTTCCTTTATAATTTGTGCATTATTATAATAACTGTGACTGTTTTGAGTGTATTGTCATCCACCTCAAAAGGTAGGAGGAACATCTGATGACAGTACATCACTCAGAAGAAAGTGTTAATGAATGAAGCATGCATGATAATTGCAGGCAGCACTAAACTGCCCTTGATTTTATTATTGTATGCTGTCATCGCAACGTGCATGTAAATAAATGTGCATGTCAAGCATTATACTGTCAAATTATTTCTTTGCTAGTTTCTGTAACATTTTTTAAGTATGCAACAGCAAGAACAAATTTCTAAAATCTTATTTCACATATGCAAGGACTAATACTCAAACAGCAGAATACTCATAACAAGAAGCTATGCCAACTTTGCACATCTGCTACATCATCTTAATTACTTTTTTCAAGGAATTTCTAAGAAATATTTTTTAGTTTCATTTAGTAAACTATACATTATGCAATAAAATACAGGCAAAATTATAAAAGTACAAGTAGTAAAAACACAGTGGATAAGAAAAGAAAATACACATTTTAAAAACCCTAATTTGCATACTGTCCACTTTTTTTCAACTTAGAAGTTATAAATAATTAAAAGATTCGAACTACAAACATGTTTTACACTTAAAAATTATACATTTAGACAACACAGAATGCAGTAGTAAACACATGCAAACATTAAATGAGTTATCCATTTCATAATAAAGTAAAATACTTAGCCATAATATCATGCATAAGGTCAGAATCATAACATATACCTAGCTGCACGAAGATACATCATGAGATCACAATCAGCAACACCAGGAGACCATCGCAATTCTTCAAGTACTTCACACTTTTCTGGCATTTCGTGAGGCCTTATATTTGATTTATATTCTGGCAGGCGAGCCTGGTGGCTGGGACCCACCCGTATTTCACCTTGAATTGTCGCCGCCAGCCTGTGAGTTTTAGAATCTCTAATGAAGAATACAATTCTATGTAAAGTGACTTGTCCCTTACATTTACAATTAAATGTAGTTCCAAGGTCTTACTTCTGAGCCTTAAAAAGAAATATTATTTCATGCTATATCTACTAGACTTTTAATATGCAATAAAAGAATTACAAAAGCATTAAATAAAAGACGAAGCAAAAGCTCTGAACATTTCAAAGATTTGACAACCAATAAATATCATCTTCGTACAGTTTACTGCATAAAAAATAAAACTTTGACTGTAATAAATCATATTCTTTTAACCACCAAAAAAGATTATGCATTTTTTACATCTACAGAGTTGCATAAAATGCAAACAGGAAAAAAAAATAATAATAATACTTCTGATTCATATGAAACATTACAAATAATTTTCATGGTATTGAATTTCAGGGTTATATAGCACCAGAACATATTCAAATGATGTGCAACACAATCACAGCAACAATTCATATAAACAGTAGCTTTGTTTCAACCTTAATTCTGCAATATACAACAACAAAACATACCACCATTGACCTGCATTTGATTTAATATATTTTTTCTCATACTTGAATTTTAAAAAGGAAAGAAAACAGAAGCTGTTTGCTTTCTTCAAGATTGTGACACATCAAAGATGAAACAAGCTATTTCCTATATAACAAAAGTATATAGTACTCATGGAAATATAGTATAGAAGGCAAACAGTGATAAAGTCAGTTAAATTATAAGGATAAATAAACCGATTTTAAGGAAACAAAGTATTTGTGACTGTATTAACAATTTAGCACTTGTACAAATGATAGCAACAGCAAATCAGACATTTATTGGTATGATATTCCCAAGGAAATCTTGAAAATGACAGGTAATTACTACATAACAGCCATTTTTAATCACTTCCTGCTTCTATATTGTCATTTCAAATGCATCTTTCCACTTCAAACAGCCTGGGATATTGTTAGAGCTTATTATCTGATTTATAATACGATGTATTCTGCATACTAGTATAATGTATTGCTGAATTTTGATGTAAATTGGGCCGGAAAAAATTACTATGAGTGTTAACAGGGTTTTAATACTACTTTAAATTTTTATTTCATTTTAATACTATATGCTTTCCTTCTTATATATTTTATTTTTATGTATTTCATTTCAAAGATACTGTCATTATTTCAACAGTAGATTTATTTTTTTAAAAAAATTAGTTGATTAAGTGCATTTCAGAAGGGATGAAACAAGTTCAGAAGATATTTCAGAAGGGATGATGATGATACACAGTTCTAGCATGTGATGTGACATAACTCGGGCTTCAATGCATGCTAATAATGGAGAACTCTGAAGTTCATTTCCATCATATGTTCTTTTATTTAAGAAAAGAAAAAAATGCCAAAGCACTCATAAAATTTGTGTTGCACATGGACAAAAGTGCTGTTTCTGATGACATAATTCAAAGGTAATTTCAGAAGTTTATCACAAAAATTCCAACTCTCTGAAAATACACATTGTAAAGTTCAGTAGCCATCAGACAGATTAAATATTCTGAAAAGTACAGTACATGACCATTTGAAGACAGCAATGCATGTAAAGGCACTATGATGTACGATACATAATGAGCAGAATACTATATGATAATATTAACAAGAAAGATCATAGGATAAGCCAAATGAAACTCCTTTATTAACATCAAGAGGCAAGCTTCATCCCAAAATTAACACACTGTGCATGGTGGGACTAAGAATTGAGTATTATGAATTCTTACTATTAAATCACACACTCTTCTCAAATAGCAATTTTAAAAGCAGAAACTGAAGCAAAGTATTCAGAACTAAGCAATTATGCTCCATCATGACAATACTCATCCCCATATTTTGATGATTGTCAGATGCACACCTGTCGAGTATCACTAGGATGTTTTGCGTCAGCCCCTCCCCCAATATTCACAGATATTTGTTACCTTGGATTTTTATCAAAATTTTTCAAATGGCCTGGAGCTTACTTCTTTGGAGATAGTCAAACAGCACTTTAATAACTTTTTACAAATAAACCTAATGACTTTTTTAGAAAGAAAATTTGTCAGCTACTGCTGAGATGGCAAAAAGTCATAAAAACAAATGATGCTTATGTGATTCAAAAGAAGGCAAAACTTCTTTTCTAAACTTTCTAGAAGGGAAAAAGAAATGAAGTAAAAATTAAAAATATTTTTAAAAGACAAAAATGAATGGAAAGTCCTGCAAAGCAATGAAATTTCTAATTATGGCTGGAGAGAAATGCTAAACACAAAACATTTTTTTTCCAATAATCAAATCATATGAAACATTTTATTCATTACAGAATGATAACCATCAACCAATCATCATTCCATTGGAAATAACATGCAATACAGGCAACTTAGCATGCATATTGAATGAGAGCAGAATAAAAGTTCATCGAAAATAACATTATTAAACCTGATAAAGGTAGATTTAAACAGTCAAGAATCATTAACTGAGACTGTTCAATATACAGTGACCAAAGTGTGAATAAAGTTCATTCATTCCACTGCTAATCTATGCAAAAATTACACCATCTCTCTCCAAGAGAGTTCATTTCAAGCACGAAGCATAATTCAAGTAACAACAGATAAAATACGAGTTCGATGACTGATATAAACAAAAATTAAAAATTTCCTCATAGTCATGGAAAATATGTTTAACTCTTTCATATATAATAATATTATGACTCAGATGAAGAAGACTAGGTATGTAGTGATGTAAAAAACTAGCTGTAAAAGAAAAACTAAAAAAAACAACATTTAAATCAATTTCAAATTCTGAAATTTTTTAAAAAATATATCATTATTAAAGATCTATTCAACTTTTGACTTTTTTATGCATTTCATCTGACATGATTCTCTCAAAATGCCTCCCCTCAGAGTTTTCTTTTGTTATAAAGTTTTGTTATACCTTAGTATAAAGCTGAATTTTATCTAATTTTAAAGTCTATATTTAATTACTGATTAACAAAATTTGCAGTCGAATGCATTATGTAAAGATTTAAATAAACCAGCCATCATTTGAAATAGTTTATGAAAATATTTTGTAACAAATTACTTTGAATCTAATATATATATATATCAGAATTTTCTAATCTAAAGAATATTTTTACCTTTTATTTAAACTTGCTTGCATTTGCAAACAGCACAGATGGCACTGACCAATGTGGAAAAGAAACCTTCACGGCAAATGCTTTTTGCCATCGACAAGAGTTAATTAATACTTTAAAACTGACTTAAAGGTAAACAACTATGGGGCTCCCCCCTTTCCTGAATAAAAGTCCTCTTTCAGCATATGTCCTTTTTTTTTTTCCTTAATGCACACAATAACATGAGCAATAAAGATTACAATGAAAAAAAAACTACAGGGTTCATACACATTTCTGCACATGGAAATTAAGTACTTTTAAGGATCATTACTGAAAAAAATTAAGGACCTATGAGCAAATAGCAAATTAATAAATTCAATTAAAATATTATATGTGCCTGAACTTCTCTTTTGTAATACAGTAGAAGTCCAGAAATCTGCAAAGCTTGGGACCAGAGGTTATGCGGATTTTAGGATTTTGCAAATTTCAAGACAGAAAAGATAAATCATAATATTCAGACTCAAAGTGCAAAATAAATAAGGCGTATTAGATACATTTAATTAAATTATTAATACATTATTGCAATAATTTATTATATGTGTTAAATTATTATTACATGTATAAACTGATTATATTATTCATTCTATTATATGTACACAGCATCCAGGTTTGCCGATTTCGCCTCATGCAAAGATTTTCGGTTTCGGATTCCGGTGCTAAAATCTCTGTTGCTGCAAAATTTCAACAGCTTTTCTTTATTTTTCCGTATATCATACACAATCATGTCGCAATTCCATACAATTCTGCTATAAACCAAAGTGTGGAACCTGCCTTCATCTTTTGCAGAATTTCCCCTTTTTGCATTAACAGGTTTCATACACATTTCTGCACACAGCCAACTCTATAATGGCCTTGAAGCGCAAAAGTCACGTGATCGAGATGGTCGATGTGTTCTTGTGGTTTATGTGGTTAGTGAACTGTGGTTGTGAACTTTCGTGATATGTATTTTACGTAGAAGTTTTTGGATGTATTATTTTTTTATGCTATTCTAAGTGATTTTAAATCACTGAAGCTTTACGCTAAGGTAAATAACATTTTTTTACCTTAGCTATACTTCGTTTTATATCTTTTTTAAATTTTTAGATTTATTTAGGAAAATTTGTAGCTGTTCTCAATCCTATTCAAGTATTTCGTTTTAACATAACATCGAATACATTTACTCTAGTTTGGACATTTTCGCATAGTGTTGTTTTGAATATTTGTTTGGAATAGTCTTTAGGAATTCCTTATTTTGATTATTTCTTTCTAATAGCATATTTGACATTCTGTCCCAATAAAAGAAACTTTATCACCACAAACATTTCAGGCATTAATAACAACTACAGATGCATTCATTCAATTGATTCCATGTTTGTTTCAAAAGTATGAAGCTGAATACATATTGTTAGGAAAATTTCAAACTGACGCTCCTGAATCACGTTTTGAAATGTATCGGCAAATGTCAGGTTCAGATTATTAAATAAATGACCTACAATTATTAGAAAGTGAGAAGAAGCTTCGTTTTATAATTTCATCATCAAATATCACTGTCCCTTTTACCAGATTATGATAAGGATTCTATCTTTACTTTTGCGAATATTGATTGATTATTCAAATTTACTAATTAGTGATTTTTTATAGAAAATGTTTCTTCTGATATTTTAGCAGTGCTAGTTTATGTTTCAGGTTATGATGCCATGAAAAAATTAAGAGTGATAAAATGAAATGTTTGCCAGGACTTGTTGCAAAGTATTCATTCAGTAGATACAGCAGATGATATTTTTTGTTTTCTTAAAGAATTAGATAAGGGGGAAATTAAAAATTTTCCATCTGAAGTTACTCTATTAAAAATCTTCAATTGTCTATTTCTTATTTGGTGAAATTCTTAAAAAACATGGAAAATGCATTTCTTATGCCAGGAAAGCAATGG